TAATTGGTGGATTTGGTATCTTATAGGTACAAATCAAAAATTAGGTGTCCAGGAAGGAAAAATGATCAAAGAGTAAGAAAAGAGTTGCAATTAGGAAAATCAAATCAAATTAGAAGAGAGAATCCCCGAACATCTTTGGTAGTGTCCACGAAGTCGAGCATAACTTTCTCATCCGAACTCGAAATCAACTGGTTCTTGCGGCATTGGAAAGCTATTTCAGCTAGCTACAATTCCTGTCTAATGGCAAAATTCCAAATTCGGACTCGAACATGGTCAAAATTGGATTCCAAAAGCGATCATGAAAATAAGTACTATAGTTCGAGAACATGAATGCGCATCACGAAACGTGCACAAAAACACTCGCCAGAAGAGATACGCACATAAGTAAAAGTACAAAAGCATGCACAAAAGTATTCACGTAAAAGTGCATTCGCAAAAAGGATCATGAAAACACAAACTACAATCCTAGGACATTAATCCAAGTCAACAAACATGCATAAGCATACTGGCTCAAATGGACATGCACAAGCGTACATGTAAAAAACATGCGCAAAAGTGCATTCGCAAAAACGTTCTTAAAAACACGAACTACAATACTAGGACTTTAATACGCATCAATAAACAACAGCAAAAACACTAGATAAAAAAGATACAATGGAGTGTAGAAATAAAACTCAACGTTTACGTTTACGTGGATTTTTTTTGGATTAATTTATATTTGTGTTTTAATTGGTGGATTTTGTATCATATAGGTACAAATCGAAAATTAAGTGTCCAGGTAGCAAAAATGATCAAAGATTAGGAAAAGAGTTGCAATTAGGAAAATAAAATCAAATTTGAAGAGAGAATCCCTCAACTTCTTTCGTAGTGTCCACGAAGTCGAGCATAACTTTCTAATTCGGACTCCAAAACAACTAGTTCTTGCGACATTGGAAAGCTATTTCAGCTGGCTACAATTTCTGTCTAATGGCAAAATTCCAAATTCGGACTCGAGCATGGTCAAAATTGGATTCCAAAAGCGATCATGAAAATACGTAGTATAGTTCGAGAACATGAATGCGCATCAAGAAACGTGCACAAAAACACTCGCGAGTGTTATAGTAGGTGACCAACAAGCCAACTTGTGGCTGTGGTCTTTCGTATTTATTATTGTAATAAACGAACCTTTATTCGTATTAATGATAAAACACCTTGGCATTCTATATCTTTGTCCCTTTGTCACAAGCATAGATATAGTCCTTACAGTTATTACAAGTACTAGTGATTGATCGTTAGGATCGAGAGATATTTACTTAAGTATTATAACTGTTAAACGTGTTCCTAGTCGAAGGGTTACGCCACTAATGAGGATATCGGCCTTTCCCATTAAGACTAGCACTTAGTGTATGTGTACTGCATCTCATCAGTGAACGGTATTGTGATATCGGCATGCATAAGTGGGTGCTCGTAAGTTGACGAGTTCACTGAACTCCCTCACCCTAGAAATCTCTAAGTGGTTCCCAATAATCGAGTAGAGATATCTATGGTATAGTTGTACACCATTAGTCCTTATGACCTAGACATCACCGTGACTTCACTAGAGGACCAGCTGTATCGTGACCTGTCCCTGAGTTCCACCGAGGACCATCCCAAGGGCCAGTGTTCGTGCAGTCCGAAATCTAGTGGGAGGTCTGTGCATTGTAGTCGGGGATTCGATCGCTAGAATAGTCTTGGATGTCCTGTGTGTTCTGAAAGTTTGTAATCATTCTAAGTCTCTGGCCATAGCTGACTAAGTGATGATTAGAGAATTCGATTCTCTAAGTCATGCACGTAAGGATTACAACACTTAGAACGATCGCACCGTCATCGAACATATAAAGAGGTCTCGATGAACCAATGCCTCTAGTTCGATCGGGACATATGAATCGAAGGGACTGTACTGTACGTTAACTATATCTGAAGGTTCTTGCAGGCACTTCATTTGTATCTAGGGAATCATGACGCGTAGTTGCTAGACGCCAATCTTGATTCGTTGGGTGATTAAGGTGAAACGAGCTTCATCTTAATCGTAACTCTAAGGGACGAGTTTTGACCACAAAGAGTTGTGGGCCCACGGCTAGCTTACACCTGAACCATCGAGGGTCACACTGCTCGTGCACATGAGATCTTTGAATAAACGTGCCCAATAGTACTCACGCAAAAGTGCATTCGCAAAAAGGATCATGAAAACACAAACTACAATCCTAGGACATTAATACAAATCAACAAACATGCATAAGCACACTCGCTCAAATGGACATGCACAAACGTACATGTAAAAAAACATGCGCAAAAGTGCATTCGCAACAATGTTTTGAAAAACACAAACTACAATACTAGGACTTTAATACGCATCAACAAACAACAGCAAAAACACTAGATAAAAAAGATACAGTGGAGTGTAGAAATAAAAATCTATGTTTACGTGGATTTTTTTTCGGATTAATTTATATTTCTATATTAATTAATGGATTTGGTATCTTATAGGTACAAATAGAAAATTAGGTGTCCTGGAAGCAAAAATGATCAAAGAGTAAGAAAAGAGTTGCAATTAGGAAAATAAAATCATGTTAGAAGACAGAATCCCCGAACATCTTTGGTAGTGTCCACGAAGTCGAGCATAACTTTCTCATCCGGACTCCATATCAATTGGTTCAGCGGCATTGGAAAGCTATTTCAGCTTGCTACAGTTCCTGTCTAATGGTAAAATTCCAAATTTGGACTCGAACATGGTCAAAATTGGATTAAAAAAGCGATCATGAAAATACGTACTATAGTTCGAGAACTTGAATGTGCATCAAGAAAGGTGCACAAAAACACTCGCTAGAAGAGTTACGCAGATAAGTAAAAGTACAAAAGCATGCACAAAAGTACTCAAACAAAAGTGCATTCGCAAAAAGGATCATGAAAACACAAACTACAATCTTAGGACATTAATACAAATCAACAAACATGCATAAGCACACTCGCTCAAATGGACATGCAACATACATGTGCAAACGTGCATTCGCAAAACGTTCTTAAAAACACGAACTACAATACTAGGACTTTAATTGTAATGCCCAACCATCCATACATGGCCAATAATAAGCATATGGCATCAATGCATATAGTTATAATTCATCATTCATGATGCATGATCACGATTGCTTGTTACACATGTGCCTTTATTGTGTTTTAATATGTGATCGAATAGTTTTCTTAAAATGTGGTAATACATGATACATTTTATTGAACTTCTACTTTATGATTTAACATGAAACTTAAGTGATTTATTGTAATGAGAAGCTCAGTTTCTCGGTTAAAAAGGGATCAATGTGTTAAACGCTGATATATTTGTCTTAATTGTTGTTCTGCATTTTAATTACATTTTGATATGATTAATTACATATGTAATTACTTGAAGTAACTCATATTAGACTAAAACCAAAAGTATGCAAAAGGGTGCAATTTGATTGGTTGGTTGACTAGGTTGCACAAGACCATTCTGATTTTGTTTACACTTGATTATAATGAGTAAACATCAGCCCACCATCTCATCTCAAGCTGTAAAAACGTGAAATAACTACAAGAATCCAGCAAATATAAGCGTTCCAATCATCATCCTCCATTTGGCCTTGTTGGGAATGGGTATATAAGTGAAGATTTTGTGTTTCGGTCTTCATTTTAACTTGTCTTCTTCCAAAAACGACCAGACCAATTCCTTAAGCTTCTCTTCTTATTTCTTCACTTCCATATTCACATAAGAAAACATCAAACCATAAAAACTCATAGAAGTATAGTTAGGACAAGTTTTGCACCTTTTCTAGCTGAAAATCCTATGTTTTGAAGTTTGAATTCATCTCTAATCAAGTCTTGTAGCACACCTTATCTAAGAACTGATCCTTTCACTTCATAGACCGTATTGAACTTGAGGTAAGTTGAAGCTTTCATTTTCTCATCATAAGAACCTAATTATGTGTGCTTTAATGTGACTTTTGCTACGTGTTCTCCATGATGTTTGTATGATTGATGAGTCATAGTGATATGAAAGAATATGTTTTGAAAATGGGAGTATGGTACTTGATTGATGGTCGAGAAGGCAAGGGACGCGGGAGGAGCCGGCGGACCCAACACATGGTGGCAAATACTTGAGGTCGAAGACCAGTATGGAAAACCCACAATTAAAGAATTGAAATACGGCTAATACCTGAGGTCGAAAGGCCGGTATGGAAACCCCCGTATTATCTATTGGCCAAATGTGATGAACAGGTTCCGAAAATCACAGTCTATTGCTATCAATCAAGTACCACACTTCAAGGGTACCCGATAAAGAGAAGGATTTCAAAGAAAAGGATCATGAATGAAGTTATATGTGATATTGCACTTATTGAATGAATAATGTGTTATGTGATATATCGCTATTACATCAGTTCCAACTTGCTGAGCCATTAGCTCATTAGGTTCTTATGATGCAGATAATGATGTACATGTTTAGAAGTTGACCTAGCCAAGAGCGGTCAGTCAGAGATTTGTTCATATGCCATGCTTCGAGCCATTTTTGTAGATTTCATTTTGATAGCCGCTCTATTATGGTTTTTGTACAATGTAATTTTATAAACAATAAATATTTATTTATATGTACAGATTTCGAGAAAGTACAAAGCTTGATTTCTTTTCAAAGCATATAACGTATTTTTGTATTAAAACCATAATGTTTAAGTATATAAAAAAGGTTAGCATCCATAACTTAATGGTGGTGATCCAATTGGATTCTCCTGTTAGGTTGTGGGGCGTTACATTTTGTGGTATCAGAGCGGAGGTATAAAATCTTTTCTGAAGACAGAAGAGGGCATATGAACATACTTTGGCTGCGAAGCTTGGTTAACTCTCTTCTTATTTACCTATGTGTTTGATTATATTAACATATGTATGCCATTGTCATGATTGTGCATTAGTATTGGCTAATGAATGGGATGAGATTGGGCAATTTATAGGAAGTAATGGCACCGAAAAGGAAGACAGGGAATGTTGGCCACGAGGGTGACTACAACTTAGTTGATAATTTAGCTGGTTTGATTCAGCAACAGACTCGAATGCATGGCGAACAGATACATAAATTGTTCGATATGAAACAGCGAACCCATGAACAAAACCAACAACCTCCTCCTCCACAAGCTAGACACGATAACTCACTTACCGTGTATGAGAAGTTTTATAAAATGGAACCGGTTGATTTCTATGGTGGGTCTGATCCTATGGTTGCAGAAGAATGGGTTAAATCTCTAGATGTCATCTTTGACTACATGCGTATCGAAGATTCCGAGAAAGTACTTTGTGCCATTTTCCTATTGAAGAAAGAAGCTAGAACTTGGTGGGAGGGTACAAAACTTGTAGTGGATATGGAGAAGTTGACATGGGAGGCATTCAAAACAATCTTTTATGACAAGTATTTCACGAGGGATGTCCGGTCACTCAAAGTTAAAGAGTTCTTAGAATTGAAGCAGAATGAAATGTCCGTATGTGACTACGTGCGAAAATTCGTGGAGGGTTGCAAGTATGTACCTTACATAGCTAAAGATAACAAAGAAAAGATGGATCACTTCATGAGAGGCCTCAACCTAGTTATTAGAAAAGATGTAAGGATCTCTTCTCCAAACGAGTTTCGACAAGTGGTGGACAACGCATTGATGGCTGACTTTGATGAGAAGGAAATTCAGAAATTTCATCAACAGAAGAGGCAACTTTTTACTCCAAGTACTCAATCTCAATGGAAGAAACCAGAGCAAAAATCCGGCCAAGTAAATGACAAGCGCCCTAGAGTTGTACAAAGTTCTACTACAGTTGAAAAGCCCAAGTGTGCCACATGTGGGAAGAATAATTTTGGTGAATGCTATAGCGGTTTAAATCGTCGCTTCAAGTCTAAGAAACCAGGGCATATTGCAAGGAATTGTCGCACCCCACCAGTCAAAGTCCAAGCGAGAGTGTATGCAATGACTAAAGAACAAGCTGATGCAGATGCATCAGTTGTCTCGGGTACTATTTTGATTTTAGGAACTCCAGCACTTGCATTAATAGACTCAGGATCTACTCATTCATTTGCATCACATTCATTGGTGAGGAGATTGGGCATTATACCAGATACGTTGGATGTGATGTACGATGTGACGACTCCATCAGGGGAAGAGATGAATTCCAACCAAATGTTGAAACATTGTTCTATTCAGATTAGTGGTAGAACACTTTGTGCAGATCTTGTTGTTTTACCTCTCGCAAATTATGAGACTATTTTGGGCATGCATTGGCTTATAAAATATTATGCTACCATTAATTGTAATCGGAAGGTTGTCATCTTCCAGCCACCTGGTGAAGAACATTTCGAGTTCGGCGGTCATTCACTTTCATCTTCAATACCATTTATAGTTGTATTGAAGGCTCAAAAGATGATGAGTAAGGGTTGTGTTGGATACTTGGCTAATGTTATGGACACTTCAGTAGGAACACAATTGAAACCCCAAGATGTGGATGTGGTTGATCAATTTCTTGAGGTATTTTCAGATGACTTACCAGGACTGCCACCGGATCGAGAAATTGAATTTTTTATTGATACGTTGCCCGGAAGAACTCCTATTTCTAAAGCTCCATACAGAATGGCACCAACAGAACTAAAAGAGTTGAAGATTCAACTACAAGACTTGTTGCATAAAGGTGTTATTCGGCCGAGTTATTCTCCTTGAGGAGCACCGGTTTTGTTTGTGAAAAAGAAAGATGGTACATTACGTTTATGCATCGATTATAGAGAACTGAACAAACTTACAATCAAGAACAAATATCCACTACCCATAATAGATGATTTGTTTGATCAATTGCAAGGAGCATCAATATTTTCGAAGATCGATTTACGCTCCGGGTATCATCAACTGAAAATAAAGGAGGATGACATACAAAAGACTGCATTTAGAACAAGGTACGGACATTATGAATTTCTAGTTATGCCCTTTGGCTTAACAAATGCCCCCGCAGCTTTTATGGATTTGATGAATAGGGTGTTCAAGGAGTTCCTTGAAAAATTTGTGATTGTGTTCATTGATGATATCTTGATCTATTCCCATGATAAAGACGAACATAGAGAACATTTGACAGTGGTGTTGCAAATATTGAAAGAAAGGCAACTATATGCTAAATTTAAGAAGTGCGAGTTTTGGCTTGATCAAGTTGTATTCCAAGGGCATGTCGTGTCCAAGAATGGTATCTCTATCGACCCGAGTAAGAAAGAAGCTATCAAAAATTGGCCAACACCAACAACTGTATCAGAGGTTCAAAGTTTCTTAGGATTGGCAGGATATTATCGAAGGTTTGTTCAGGGATTTTCCAAGATAGCAACTCCATTAACAACGTTTACACGGAAGAACGTGAAGTATGTATGGACTGATGCATGTGAAAGTAGCTTTCAAGAGTTGAAACTAAGATTGACTACAACTCCTGTTCTCGTCATTCCTTCTGGAACTGGTGGATTCGTAGTGTATAGTGATGCTTCAAAAAATGGATTGGGTGCTGTATTGATGCAACATGGGAATGTTATCGCCTATGCTTAAAGACAATTGAAGGAGTATGAGAAGAATTACCCAACTCATGATTTAGAGCTTGCTGCCGTTGTGTTTGCCTTGAAAATTTGGAGGCATTACCTATATGGTGAGAAATGTGAAATTTACACGGATCACAAGAGCTTGAAGTACTTCTTCACTCAGAAAGAATTGAATATGAGACAACGAAGATGGTTAGAACTTGTGAAGGATTATGACTGTGTGATTAACTATCATCCTGGTAAAGCTAATGTGGTTGCAGATGCATTGAGTAGAAAATCTATGTCTTCCTTCCTTGTTATACAGAAACCAATACTACTAGATTTACAAAGATTAGAGCTTGAAATTGTACCTAAAGGGACGGTTAGCTCTTTATCATCTTTAGTATTAAAACCCGTACTTCATGACCGAATCAAAGAGGCTCAGAAAGTGGATAAGTATTTGTCCAGGTTGCGAAGTATGATTGATGCTAAGAAGAGGCCGAACTTCTCTATTGGTCATGATGAAATGATTCGTTATAAAGGCATATTGTGTGTTCCTTTTGATGCTAACATAAAGGGCGACATTTTGGAAGAAGCTCACAGAAGTCTTTACTCAGTGCACCCGGGCAGCACGAAAATGTACAAAGACTTACAACTTCACTATTGGTGGCCTAACATGAAGAGAGATATAGCAAAGTTTGTGGCTGAATGCTTCACTTGTCAACAAGTCAAAATGGAACATCAAAGACAAGCAGGACTATTGAAACCTTTACTGATTCCAGAGTGGAAATGGGAGCATATTACAATGGATTTTGTGTTTGGAATGCCTAGAACACAAAGGGGATACAATTCAATATGGGTGATTGTTGATAGACTAACTAAATCAGCCCATTTTCTTCCAGTGAAGTCCACATTCAACATGGAGCAATATGCACAACAATATATTAAACAGATAGTTAGATTGCATGGAGTGCCAGTGTCAATAGTATCTGACAGAGATCCGAAGTTCACTTCTGCATTTTGGAAGAGTTTGCACAATGCCATGGGGACGAAGCTTGCATTTAGTACAGCATTTCATCCACAGACTGATGGACAATCTGAGAGAGTTATTCAAATACTTGAGGATATGTTAAGAGCTTGTGTTCTAGATTTGAAAGGGAGCTGGGATGAAAAGCTTCCATTGGTAGAGTTCACTTACAATAACAGTTATCAATCTACAATTGGAATGGCACCTTATGAAGCACTATATGGGAGAAAATGTAGATCTCCAATTCATTGGGATGAAGTTGGTGAAAGAAGTCTACTTGGGCCAGAGATGGTGCAACATACTGCCGATACGGTACGGAAGATAAGGGAAAGAATGAAGACGGCACAGAGTAGACAGAAAAGTTATGCAGATAAACGAAGAAGAGATCAGGATTTTACGGTTGGCGACCATGTATTTTTGAAAGTGGCTCCATTGAAAGGCATAATGAGATTTGGAAAGAAAGGAAAACATAGTCCAAGATATGTTGGTCCGTTTGAAATCCTTAAAAGAGTTGGTGATAGAGCATATAGAGTAGCCTTACCTCCTTCATTATCTGGTGTTCACAATGTTTTCCATGTGTCTATGTTGAAGAAGTACATTTCAAATCCCTCTCATGTTTTGAGTTATGAACCGTTTGAGTTTTCTGCAGATTTGTCTTATGAGGAGAAACCAATTCAAATTATTGATCGAAAAGTCAAGGAGCTGAGAAATAAAAAGATTCCATTAGTTAAGGTATTGTGGAGAAATAAATCTATTGAAGAAGCCACGTGGGAAGGGGAGGAAGAAATGCATAGCAAATATTCAGAATTGTTCGGTACGTCAACTTTCGAGGGCGAAATTTTATAAGGAGGGAAGGATTGTAATGCCCAACCATCCATACATGGCCAATAATAAGCATATTGCATCAATGCATATAGTTATAATTCATCATTCATGATGCATGATCACGACTGCTTGTTACACATGTGCCTTTTTTTTTTTTTTTAAGAGAACGACACCCGGTGAGGGTGGGGGGTTAGGCTTGACCCCCTACCTGTTTATAAAACAAAATTTAAGAAGTACATAATGAGTTTCGCTCAAATTGCTACTGCCCAACATATGGGTAATAATAGCAATTGACAAACAAAAGACAATAGCTAACTAACAAAACGTTAAGAATACAGGCAAAACAGGTGGCCCAAATAATAAAATGGATGGGTAGGGAATGATCATAGAAGGTCGGGGAAGACCAAGGTAGATCGTTCGCCTCACCACAACAGCCAAAAATGGGCGAAACAGGTATAACGGTTGCGAAATGCGTGGCACCATTCGGCAAACAGTCTAGTCTTGATAGACCCAAACAATCCATAATCACCCCAACCCTTCCTAACATGTAAAGTTCACGAAAATTCCTAAATTGCCAATAATATAAAAACATGGAATGCATGGCACCTATGTGCGAGACTGTCGTCGAAAGGATGGATATCCAAGCTGGTCCATCCGAATCATCTGCTGAATAGGTCGGGGAAGCTCCACTGTTGTGAAGGTACGAACCAACTCGGTCTGACACCCCAAGTTAGCTAATGCATCAGCCACTGTATTGCCCTCCCGGTAGATATATGTAATCCTGTACTCCAAAGTAGAAAGAGAGTTCCGGATCGCCGTGAGAGAAATTTGAAGACTCCAATGACCTTGGTCCGTGTGCAAAAGAAGTTGAACAGCGACTTCTACGTCAAGCTCGATCCGAACTCTAGTGAATTGCCTCTGAATAACAAATCGCAGCCCCGAGGCAAGGGCAGCAAGCTCGGCTGCAATACTGCTCGGGGCAGAGATCCTCTCGTGAAATGCAAGTATGGCCTCAGCGTCCGAACCTCTGATAATCCCGCCAATAGCTGCAATCTGGGTGGATGCTCTACGGGCTCCGTCTGTGTTTAGCTTCACCCAACCCGGATCCGGTGGAAGCCGAATAACTCGATGAGGTGTGAGAGTTGGTGTTCTGACTCGGTAATATAGGCTAAGAGACTCAGCCACGTGGGGAATGCTAGTCGAGCTGTCCGCCGAAAGTAAGTTGGTTTGGTGAAGAATCCTGATATGCTAGATGACCCTGTAAATGATGGAAGAAGCGCGAACCGTGATATCCTTGTGCTTGCTGTCATTTCTTGCAATCCATAAGTACCACAAGATCAAGCAAGGCACAATGGTCGTGATGTGTGTGTGGTGTGTGAGTGTTTGCGAAGTGAAGTGCTGCCTGTTGGGTTTCGGGCACGCATACGCAGCGGAAAACAAAAATTTATGCGAATTAAACGAGTTTAAAACGCACATAGTACATGCCCATTAAATGAAACCAATTAATTGCGTACCTTTACGCTTCCAGCGAAATTAAAAACGACATACATGCTAATAAATTTAACCGAATTTAAATCAATTAACATGCTCGCGTTTAAACCAAATAACATGCTTGCAACGATTTGATCGATTACACATAATCACATAAAATAATACGAAACAAACATGAATACATAGGTTTAAACAAAACTCAAATCGAAACTAGGGTTTCGCGTGTTTACCTCTTGAAGCGTGAGGTAGGAGCGTATAGCACGTCGAGATTGCTACGGAAACCAATCCGTACAATCGGGGCGGCAATGGAATGCAGCGGCAGCAGCGGCGGATTGACCACGGCGGCGCGTGAGCTTCACGCGCGGACTTCCGGGGTGGCGCGTGGGGCAGCGTGCGGCTTCGGCTCGTGCGTTGCTCCTCGATTCTTCAATCTACAGTCTTCCTCCTCTCGGATTTCACCTCGTATACTTCGATCTACTAAAACGTGGCACTAGACACGAAGTAGTTAGAATTAACGGAAGAAAAGAGAGAAGAAAAGAATACCGAAAGAGATCGGCCAAGGGATGGCCGATTCCGGCGACGGGGCGGCGTCAACGGCGGAGGTGGCCGCGCGAGAGAGAGAAGTGGACCGCCGCTTTAGGGTTAGGGTTTCTTTTTGTTTTTGCAAGGCCTATAAATCATGTATTTATAGTCCCTTCCATAAAACCCTAGCGGGCTTAAGTTGGACCGGGCCCAACAGCTTAAGTTCGCTAGTACTTTTACTTGCTCGTTTCTCACAATTCAATGACCGAAAAATTGCAACAATTACATTTTCGGAATCATTATAATTC